ACTAAACCCCATCGAGCCCCACCACTCCGTACCCGTCCGAACTCACAAGATGTCCTACCACCAGTAATTACGCAAATTATAATTATTCGATTTACGGCAGACTTCGTAGTGTCTCAATCGATAAATAAAAGAACTAAACTTTTGTATAAAATAAACTTAAAACAAACAAAAGGAATCAGCCCGACGGGAGACACATCAAAGGGAAATCAAAATTGTTATTTTTATTTAATTCCAAGCATTTTCATATTTATCTACCTTTTAAACATTCTCTGGACTTCCACAAATAATTCAAGACCAAAATTAGCTAAATCGGTCCAGTCGTTCTCGAGTTCTAGCAAGACTAACGAACAGCAATTCATTTTTATATATATAGATTATTTTCGATGCATTAATATTATTGTATAATAATGTCTGTACATTTGTTGAAACTGACGATTTCAATTATAAAGAATTCTAAACGACTTACATACTATATTCAACTCGTTTCGTCATAGAATGATTTATGGCTCGTAACAATTTAGTGAATTGATGCGCGTTTGTTAAATAGGCCCATAAAAATAGTTCGTTTAAAAATAGCTTAAGGAACACGATGTGTAAGAGCACTGCTTATACAGTGTGTTAAATAAAATACCGAAACAGGAATATATTACTAAATTGATGTAAACAAAAAAACGACTTATTTACTTATCTAAGAATAAATAAATGAAGTTTTTGTTTTGTTTATTTATTTATTTATGTGTGATACTAACAGTACAATATATCCATATAGTAAATTAAATATAAATGAACTTATTAAATTTGACGAACCAAAAATTCTGCTGGTGGGAGACAACTGAATATCGCCCTCTACTTTGATGCGCGGTACCGATGATTATACTCGGCATTTTTGATTGACATTTCAATAGAAAAAACTTTTGATCATCAATACCCAAAACTACCTTAGACCCTTCGATATGGTATACCTATATAGGTGAATACGAGCCAACTCTATACCGCCATCCTGACAATTCTACTGCTCTATACCTAATGAATGAAGATATTTTTGAAGTCTTTTTAAAGGATTTTTGAATTTTTGAAGAATTTTTGAAGTCGTCGTGGCCTAAAGTATAAGACATCCTGTGCATTCGTGTTGAGCGATGCACCAGTGTTCGAATCACATGCGGGTACCAATATTACTTATGACATACGTACTCAGCAAATGTTCGCGATTGACTTCCACGGTGAAGGAATAACATTGTGTAATAAAAATCAAATCCGCAAAATTATAATCTGCGTAATTACTGGCGGTAGAGCCTGTTGTGAGTCCGCGCGGGTAGGCACCACCACTGCCTATTTCTGCCGTGAAGCAGTAATAATGCGTTTCGGTTTAAAGGGCGGGGTAGCCGTTGTAACTATACTGAGACCTTAGAACTTATATATCAAGGTGGGTGGCGCATTTACGTTGTAGATATCTATGGGTTCCGGTAAGCACTTAACACCAGGTTGGCTGTGAGTTCGTCCATCCATCTAAGCAATAAAAAATATATAAAAAAATATGTGATTCGTATGGGCTCGAGAATCCATTAAATACCTAATGCACGGAGATAGTCACGTATGCCTACTTATTGTTTTTAAATTACATACTTATAGAACGAACTAAACTGATTCTGAAACTAGTTTCGACCACAAACGTGGTGAGCACTAAGAACCGGTCGACTCGGACCGTGTTAAGTATTCGCGGGGGTGAACAGGTTTTTGCTACACATGCACCTTCTATGCACAGAAAGGCTGCACCTATTTGATTTTCTAATTCATCGTAAATTTTCTTCGATTATAGTTTTATATTCTTGATTGAGAGACTTAGATCATATGTCACAGGAAGAGTGACGGCAATCACGTAGTGATATTTTGAGCTTTTTCTTCTTACCTATACGCTAGTAGCCTAGGGGGCTATTCCAGTTACGCCTGGAGGGGTAGGTGAGCTCACGCGCTCAACCTGAGGGACTATGCTAACACTAGTCCTAGCAAGCGCAGTGTTTCGCAAAATCTACTAACGGATCGGAATCGCGATCGACTGAGAAGATTCGGCGAGAAACTCAGTACTCTGTGTCTTTGGGTTAGTTCGCTCGTCGAGTTCTTCCTAGTTGGTGCTTGACAGACCTAAAAGCACCGAGAGTAGATCTGAGGGATCTGACAAGATATTATTATGTGTCGGTCAAAGGCGACTTTGCGTTCCCCCGCCGTGGTCGGATAAGACTATTTATTACCCTCTTGGAATTTGGCATACGAATGTTCTGTCTAATAAAAAAGATTACACAATCGCCATTAGTGCCATGCGAAAGGCCTAGGTCGAAACATATTTTTGATTCGACAATCGTCATAAAACACTTCATTGTATTCTTGAATTTCGAATATTCCCGACATACAGACCCGTTACGATTCACAGCTGCTTACAATGCACCCGGCGTTCGCATTCCCTAAAGAATCGGACATAAAAAGAAGAAAGGGATACACGGTGCCACATTTTGCGAGGTCGCTTGTGTTTTATACGGTACTGACCTTGAAGGGCGCGGTCGGGAACCTTAAAGGGCGCACCGAACTCCCGTCACGTACCGCCACGCCAAAATAGTTGACAACAGTCCAGTTACAATGCGACACGACAAAATAACAGTTCATGAATGAGTTTTTGAAATCGAATTAATTCATTTGGATGTTCAGTTAAATTTAGATTCGTATTTTACGATCATTTCTAATGCAGTTCTGAGAACCAACTTATACCCACGCTACGTAATAAATACAATTCACTGTTTAAAATAAATGGTTTTTCGGATTCGTCATTGTGACTGTCTCGAATGAAGAATTACATTCATTTCGTGCATAAGAGTATTGAAAAATTAGACTCGAGGTTACTGACCTTATTTCCTATTAACCGTACCTAACGGCAGTATTCCCATGTATCTTCCTATTTAACTTTCTAACTGTTAACCTCTATCTCATATCTTAATGATTGGCTAGTGCCAAAATAATTATGCGTTCTAATTTAAAGTATAAAAACCTATGCTACCGTCGCAATTAAAATTTGAATCTTATCTGAAGGCAGCTTTAGCAGTGCACTTCGTGTACGGTGTTTATAGGCTCTTGTAACCTTTTAAACACGTCCTTACGGATCCATCAGATCCAATTCTTCTCCATCGCTCCCTCATTGCTGAGGATCGTAACTCCGTTTTAGCTTGTCGACTGTCAGCCTCCATCGGTTCCGGTCAGTTGCCTGGTGTAGTGCAGCGCTAAGTGGTCCGCTGGTTTGCTCGGAGATCTGGTCGGACCAACGTTTGGGGCTCTGGCCTCTAGGACGTTTTCCTTCTACTTTCCCAGTGACCATCAGACGTTCCAAGTTGTCTACACCTCTGCGGGAAACCAAAGTAGCGCATTATGCGTTGCAGACAGGTGGCAGACAGGCGTTGAGCGTTCTCCATTTTAAGCTGATGTAGGACCGAGATGTTCCTGCGGTGGGCTGTCCATGGAATCCTTAATAGGCGGCGCCAGCACCACATTTCAAAAGCATCAAGTCTGTTTCGGTCAGCTGCTTTTATGGTCCATGTTTCTGCTCCATAGAGAGCGATTGGAAAGACCAGTGAGTGCACAAGATGTATTTTGGTCCTATTCGAAATATTACGATCTTTCCAAATTTTTTCAACTGCGTCATAGCTGTTTTAGCCATTCCAATACGTCGGCGTATTTCAGGCTCACAGCTCTCCTTATCCGTGATCACAGAACCAAGGTAGACAAACTGGTCTACGGCCTCGTATTCTGCCAAAAGGTCCGTACGCTGAGTGGATGAGAAGCGGTCTACGACTAGCAGCTTGGTCTTGCTTTTGTTAATTGCTAGTCCCATGCTTAGGCTTATAGCCTCTAATCTGTCCAGAAGCGCCTTCATCTCCGCCTCAGATGAAGCAAGAAGTGTGGTGTCGTTGGCATTCTCAGGTTTGTTATCTGAACTCCCCCTATTCTAACGACTCCTTCCCAGTTTCCTAAAGTCTGGAGCATTATATATTCCTCATATATATTGAAGAGAATAGGTGAGATAACACATCCTTGCCGGACTCCTTTTTGGAAACGAAATTTACTTGAAGTGGCATTTTCGATAGAGACAGACCCAAACCCCGACTCGTACAGGTTGCGAATCAACATAACAAGATGACTCGGAACTCCTGTTTCACTTAGGATCTCCCACAGTTTCTCCCATTTCACGCAATCAAAGGCCTTCTGATAATATACGAAGCATATAAAGACAGGTATGTTGTACTCATAGCATTTCTCTACAATGAGTCGCAAGTTTCGAATTTGCTAGATTCATTCGCGAAGTAGCTGCTCTTGAGCTGTTAGGTCTCCTTCGGAGGCGCTCGGGTAGCTGTTAGCAAATCCCACCCCTCTTGGCTGAGCCTTTGCTCACCCACTTGTCCTGGTGAAACTGGAAAGGCCTCCGGGCCACCAGTAATCCTTCAATCATAAAAAAAAACCTTTTAATATTAGTTGGGGTTTTATTACACCATAAATTACAAACATAGAAATAAAATTGATTTTTTAAAATCCATTTTAATTTTTATACTTGTTACACTTTTAATTATGGCAACATCGACGTGAGAATACCCAAGGCAGGTCAAGTGTGACTCCTCTTTAAACCTCTATAAAGCGGTGCTGTGAACCGAAAAGGTTTCAAAAACCATTTTAAAGGGACTACCTTTTTGTAGTTTTCCGAACTTGGAAAGGTTCAATGCAATTTGGTGCTCATGATAATTATTCTGTGCCCATGAACGTGAAAATAGCACATCGTTTTTAGATTGCGAACGACTCGGTCGTGTAGTTGGGAGTGGGAACCACTTGTAAAGTTACGTTAGTTAATTATTTAATTAGGTTATCAATAAGGTTCTAGGAAAAACTACAGTTTAAAAAAAAACAAGAAATACAATAACTAATTATTTTTAAACATTCTATGACACTAATTTTATTATTTTATTTTACAGAATTTCAGATGACATTATTATCAAGATGACAAGAAAGTTTTTGTTTTGTTTTCCACTTCGCGTGGGAAACGTTGTCTTCGGATTCATTGTTATTGTAAGTTGATTAATTAATTATATTCATTTTACATTTTTTCTTTGGTATAAAAATGGATATACGAGGTAATATGACCAGAGTTAAAATAAAAATTATGGACATTTATGACATGAAAAGTCAGGTTTTTTATTATAATTTGTTACACGCTATAAATATATTCACTTAATAATGCTACTTATGGACACTTCTTTTTCCGTGAAAAATATTGGAAGTATTAAATAATTATGAAATAACAATTAAAAGGCTAAAAATAAAATTACTACGATACGAAAAAATATATATTTGGCGCCTGATTGAACTTAAGAAATGAATAAACAAATTGCATATTTTTTCTTTCAGGCGCATTCTCCTAATAATGTTAAGGTATTTTAACTTCAGCTTCGTTGTTGCATATCTTGTTGGAAATACATGAGTATAAATTTCATCAATCGATTAGAAAAAAACAATGACAGCTGTATGATTTTTCAATTGTTTACGCTGTTTTTTTGCGCCATGCTACATTTTGATGATCAATATAATTTATCTGAGCATTAGTTAATCTGACACAATATGATGTACAGTCCAAATTTTAATAACTTTTTGATAATTTTTTGAGCATTTTCTAATTATCCGCTCCACGTTTTTTCCCTAAAAACTTGACTACTATATACATATCGATAATATATGAATGCAATCTATCAACGAAATATATTGAAATTATATTTGCATACAGCGAAAAATGTACCTTAAACGATATTTTAAAACTGAAATTTTCTGCTTTTATCATGGATATGATAAGACGATTCTAGCGATATTGCAATATATATTTTAACGAAAGATTCTAAGCCATATTTATGTACAGTCGCGTCTAATAAGTTTAAATTACTCATATTTTTTAACAAAAGCGTATTTAGCCCATCTAATCACGTGGACAAAATAAAAGAGGTACAAATGTAACAGGTTCATTGAAAGTGTCGAGGCCAGCGCCCCAAACACAGCTGCGCCCACACCCTGCACTATAGATAAAGCCGCCCCTGTTTTTGAATCAGTTTACGTCGATTGATACGTCACGACGATCCATTAACGGTGCTTTTAGGTACCTCAATCACCGGTCACCGTCCTCGCCGAACCCGTAACTTGCGACGAAGGGCTCGACGAGTACATTAACCCATAGACACAGCCCACTGAGTTTCTCGCCGGATCTTCTCAGTGGGTCGCGGTTCGGATCCGGTGGTAGATTCTGCGAAGCACTGCTCTTGCTAGGGTCAATGCTAGCGACACCTCCGGTTTGAGCCCCGAGAGTTCACCTACACGCTAGGGTCGTGAGTCGTCGTGGCCTAAAGGATAAGACGTCCGGTGCATTCGTGTTGAAGCGATGCACCGGTGTTCGAATCCCGCAGGCGGGTACCAATTTTTCTAATGAAATATTTACTCAACAAATGTTCACGATTGACTTCCACGGTGAAGGAATAACATCGTGTAATAAAAATCAAACCCGCAAAATTATAATTTGCGTAATTACTGGTGGTAGGACCACTTGTGAGTCCGCGCGGATAGGTACCACCGCCCTGCTTATTTCTGCCGTGAAGCAGTAATGCGTTTCGGTTTGAAGGGTGGGGTAGCCGTTGTAACTATANCCGACACTTATTTATATAGAAAATTAACCTCAAAACGAGTTTTTATTTTTATTATATTTTTTATAATAGTGGCGTCAATTTCAATATATTTTTTAGATATCCAATACATTTAAGAATTTGAATCAGTACATTTTTATAGTAATATTTGATGTCCATCTTGGGCCTAGCACACTATGGAGAGTGGGCAATCCCCTTTGAATAACTTTTTGATATTTTTTTTAGCATTTTGTAATTATCCGCTCCACGTTTATTTCCTAAAAACTTTACTACTATTATAGATATCGATATTATATTGATTTACCTACCAATGAACTACATTGAAATGATACTTTCATACAATGAAAAATTCACCCTAAACGATATTTTAAAACTGAATTTTTCAGTCCTTTATAATAGATATGATAAGACGATTCGAGCGATATTTCAATATACATATATTTTAACGAAAGATTCTAAACCATATTTATGTACAGTCGCGTTTAATAAGCTTAAATTACTCATATTTTTTAACAAAAGCGTATTTAGCCCATCTAGCATCTTCTACGCCCTCGCACGGGGTCAAAATGGAATAGGTACAAATGTAACAGGCTCATTAAAAGTGTCGAGGCCAGTGCCCCAAACACAGCTGCGCCCACACCCTGCACTATAGATAAAGCCGCCCCTGTTTTTGAATCAGTTTACGTCGATTGATACGTCACGACGATCCATTAACGGTGCTTTTAGGTACCTAAATCACCGGTCACCGTGCTCGCCGAACCCGTAACTTGCGACGAAGGGCTCGACGAGTAAATTAACTCATAGACACAGCCCACTGAGTTTCTCGCCGGATCTTCTCAGTGGGTCGCGGTTCGGATCCGGTGGTAGATTCTGCGAAGCACTGCTCTTGCTAGGGTCAATGCTAGCGACACCTCCGGTTTGAGCCCCGAGAGTTCACCTACACGCTAGGGTAAACACTTATATAGCCTCTCAAGGCTATCAATATAGGTAGGGAAAAAAAAGATACGTCGTTGACCGTGAGCACTCGTAAACATATTTCAACTTACGTAACCATCAGAAAGCGGCAAACGCCACAAGAGGCATGAACGTCTTACATGAATGTAGCCACGGAATAATTTATCTATTCCGTGAATGTAACACAAACGTCAAATGTAAAAACGTCACGAATGTTAAACGAAAACAAATAATAGTTTAAAAAACTAACAAAATACGCTTTAATAGAAAATCCAACTAAAAAATAGACTATTTTTAAATCAAATTTATTAATATTTATTTTCTATTTTTTAGTTGGATTTTCTATAAAAGCGTATTTTGTTAGTTTTTTTAAACTATTATTTGTTTTTAATTTTTTAGTTGAATTTCAAATTTTCAATATGTTTTTCAATTATTTTCTTTTAATTTTGAATTGTCATCGGTCCTTAATAAGTATACCAAATTTCGAGTTAATCCGAAGTTTTGAAGGGGGTCAAAATCATGTTCAAAGATTCCGTTACATACATACGTCTGAAGCTAATAAAAGCGTATTAACATTTTTGTATTACAGATAATAGCTGTAGCGGTATTGGCGTTCAGTCTATTCGAATTGGCAGATAACCTGGTGAATGGCTACAGGGACGACACGAGGTTCCGTGACTTCCAGAACCTTGAAAAAATCTTCGGTTCCGACCGTGACATATTAGTGACATACACTATTATTGTATATTACATGTCCTACATAATTGTGTCTCTATTATTGCTTTTGTTCAGTATTTTACTCGCCTGTGGTGCTTGGAAGGTAATTTTGAGTTTTTTTTCTAAGTGTTTATTATCTACTTGTGAATAAATATAAAATGGTCGCTCTAAGGAGTAGTAGGTTTAAAAGGCAGCCGCTTAGTTATGCCCCTGGCATTGCTCATTGCTCATGTCCATGAACAACGGTGTCAAGCTACTATCAAGTGTGCCGTATGTTCATTTACATACGATGACATTAAAACAGAACAATAACTATTATTTTATGTCTGTATTCTAATTTTGAATACATAATTTTGGTAATGCTTTTGATTCTCGTATTAAATTAAAAAAGTTTTATTTAGAACGTTGTGGGCGAACCCTTTTATTTGTGAAAATAAACATTAGAAATCATTCAAATTAAAAAACAGAACAAGAACCCGATAAATAATAATGTTTACATTTGCCGGAATTTATATTTAGTTTCACAGATTATATTTAGGTTATAGAGATGGCAACAAAATTTTATTTCATAGATTCTATGTATTTTTTTAAAAACGTTTTCTAAAATCTAATATCAATTTACGAAACAAGAGCAGAAAACGGAAACGTAGCCAACGTTAATGGAACTCGGAAACTGGTTCAATAAACTAATTGATGACGTGTCTGAAACCAATAAACGCGTATTGGCAGCTCACAATAAAATGAACAACATGATACGCCATTTTGCGTTCTACCTATAACTGACGTAATCTAATGAATATCTATATATTAATACGTGAAGCAAAACTTTGTACCCCTTTTTACGAAAATTGCGCGGACGGAGGAGTATGAAATTTTCCACACTTATAGAGAATATAGAGAAGAAGTGCAGAATGTTAATATTATTTAAAAATAATGCATAAAAGATACATTAAATCAATAAAGAAAACATTACACAGCTACATACCATGTATTTGACGCACACACGCATGCATACTATTTATTGTCAAACTTTTGTTCTTGACGTCTGTTGTCAAATTGAAAATAGATTAAATATTATTTGTCTTTGTTAATATTTTTTATAGTGTAGTCTTGGCGAAATTTGTTATTATAGAAGTATAAAATACAATCATAATAGTGTACAAACTTACAATTGCAATTAATTATAGTCGAATTTCGACTACTGCGGGACCTCTAGTATTATTTATATTACTACGAGAATACTTTATTTTTAAATTATACGTTAATAATACATTAAATCAATAAAAAACCATTACACACAATACAATGTATTTGACACACACACATATATATACGCTTTGTTTATTGTCAAACTTTTGCTTGCAGTCTGTGGTCAAATTGTAATAGGTTAATATTGTTTATCTTTAATATTATTTGTCTATAGTGTAGCCTTGGCGAAATCTGTGATTATAGAAGAACAATAAATACTCTTTGACAATAGAACCATATTAATGTCCAAGCTTATACGGGGGATCACTAGTTTTGTATACGCTTGTCCAAGCTTATACGGGGGACTACTAGTTTTGTATACGCTTGTCCAAGCTTATACGGGGGACCACTAGTAATTGCACTGGATTTGTTAGTACCGTTGGAGCTCCGTGGTATGCACATTTGGGCTTAATCGGTAAATAAGTGGCATCTTTCTCCTTCTCCAGTCGTACTCCTCATGTCTGAGGGTCGTGAACGCCTACCATTGAAGCAGATAGGATCTTATTTTCCGATTTCCGGCTTGGAGTTTTGATGATATATTTTTAATTCATCAATATTCACATAATCTGTATCCTTTAGTAAATGACTAAGATGTCTGGTGTACGCAAATCAAGTAATTCAACCTTGCCAGTTTAAATCCTGGAGGCCAGGAATAATTCGATTTTCGGTTGAAATTAATATTATTAAGAAACACGTTTGCTTTATCGAGATCTATGAGAAAAAAACCTGACTCAGGGTTGTTTAATATGAAATATTTATTTCCTTTATTCAATTTAAAAATCTTCACGTCACAATTTGAACATGGAAAGCGCGTCCTATACTTTTATCAAACTCCATAAATATTGCTTGAAGTTGTGTGTTAACATAAAATTCTATATCTATATGTTTATTTTTTGCAGGCCAATTCCTGTTTAGTGAGTACATTCTTCGTGTATAGTTTCTTCCATCTGTTCCTTACAATAGGACTTATTGTGTGGGAGGCTTTAACAGCTGGCTGGATACAACTCGGGCTGATTTTGCTCTCAGATGGTACTTATAATCTTAATTTATATAAAATTATTAAGTAATTAAGTAGTATTAAATAATTTAAAAAATATTTTTCTTCTCCTACTAATCTACTTTTGTGAGTCGTTGATATAATTATAGTTTTAATTTAGCGATTTAAATTAACCCATTACCGATTTAATCTTTATTCTTTTATTTTATAATCTATGATGTTTCGACTAATTAACACTATCTAGTCTGGCACTATCTTTGACTTCAGATTTCATCTTCACGTCTATCGCATTTCATTCACATATCAGATTGAACCATAAAATTAGATTGAGTTGTATTTTTATTTCTAACTAAATACGTACGTCTAATACGTACTCAACAAATGTTCACGATTGACTTCCACGGTGAAGGAATAACATCGTGTAATAAAAATGAAACTCGCAAAATTATAATTTGCGTAATTACTGGTGGTAGGACCTCTTGTAAGTCCGCGCGGGTGGGTACCACCACCCTGCCTATTTCTGCCGTGAAGCAGTAATGCGTTTCGGTTTGAAGGGTGGGAGCAGCCGTTGTAACTATACTTGAGACCTTAGAACTTGTATCTCAAGGTGGGTGGCGCATTTACGTTGTGGATGTCTATGGGCTCCAGTAACTACTTAATACCAGGTGGGCTGTGAGCTCGTCCACCCATCGAAGCAATAAAAAAAAAGGCGATTTTCATGTAACAATTACAATTTATAATACTTCGGTGAAAGGACGTTTGAAGCACTTTAGTAACATAACACGGAGGCACAGACCTCATAATCAAAAATAACAAATTAAAGTGATTGCCTCGTGTGAATTCTTTATAAGATTTCAATTCACTTTAGACTAAAACGAATGCATTTTTTATTGGACATCAATATATCTGAGAAGTTCGCTGAATCCCTCGAGTCAACCAAGGCGAATGGATTTGTTCATTTCCTAATCCCATTATTGAAATGAGATTTCGATAAAAAAAATACTAAGTCATGATTCATTTACTGTAATTTCATATGAATTTTGTTGAAATCGTGGACTCCAGAGGAAGCGCAATGGTAGAGCAAAGAAATTATTTTAGTATTACTTATGACAAATATTGTAAAATAGAGTTAAAACAAACAAATCTTCGACTATAAATAAAAGTAAATCGGTAAAAAGTTATTTTTCTAAACGGGCAATACTTTGTTTATAAATACGAGTAAATCAAATCACAATTTAACTTAAATTCAAAATATATTTCAATGCTATATGAACTATAGTATAATTGAAGTCGTCGTGGCCTAAAGGATAAGACGTCCGATGTATTCGTATCTAGAGATGCAACGATGTTCGAATCCCGCAGGCGGGTACCAATTTTTCTAATGAAATACGTACTTATCAACTGTTCACGATTTCCACGGTGAAGGAATAACGTCGTGTAATAAAAATCAAACCCGAAAAATTATAATTTGCGTAATTACTGGTGGTAGGACTAGAGCTTATAAAGTATTTTTTCCAATTTCTCGAGTCGTAGACTTCATCAAAAGTACTTTTAATCTTGCAATAATCATTAACATTTTTTCCGATGTTTCAAATAATTTAGGATTTTCATGGCGACAGACAACTGTCCAGAAGTCCACAAAGAAAATTTTGATTGTAAGATATTATAGCTCAATTTACACGTTAGTTTACTAACCATCACAATTAACGAAATAGCTATCTTCTACACATCTAACATTAAAAGACAGTGCTTAGACTTTAGTCTAGCATGACTACGATAACAGTACAGCACTCAGAAGCCATTTAAAAAAATATATATAAATTAGTCGGGACGTTTTTAAGTCGTGTCTTCGAGGAAATATGAAACACTTTTTTTTTCTTCCTACCTATGCTGATAGCCTTGAGAGGCTATATCAGCTTCGCCCTAACGTGTAGGTGAGCTCACAGGGCTCAAACCGGAGTGTTGCTAGCACTGGCCCTAGGAAGAGCAGTGCTTCGCAGAATCTACCACCGGATCGGAAACGCGACCCACTGAGAAGATCCGGCGAGAAACTCAGTGGGCTGTGAAAAACTCAGTGGGCTCTGAGAAGCACTAAATTTTATAACCATTTTGTTCCAGTGCTCCTCATTGTTTGCTTGTTCGGCGTCAAATATCTGATGGAAGCCATCCGAACAGGGAACATCTACAGTCGACCCGGAGAAATTTATGATAAGTACTAAAGAGAAACGATACAAGACTAATAAAACACACAATCGAAGAAACTTTGCCAAAATTACATTTTCTCGCTATGAAATTCTAAAATTTCATTACTATTTTGAATGAAACACGAGTTTAGTTAAGAAATATTTATTTTAATTAAAATAAAATAACTTAATAATAACGCATTTTTATTCAACAACAACTTATCCCTTCTAAAAGAAACGACATCGACAAATATAAATAAAATTAAATAAAAATACATAAATGCAATCGATATTTTTAACACAGAGAGATGTCTTCCTTCCTTCAGATTCTTTTTTTAATATCCACTTCCGTTCCTTCAGATTCACTTTGTACAATTTTACAACGATTATTATCACGTCAAATAATTCCATAAAAATATAGAATTCAGATATTCACATAATCCGTACTTCAACTATCTTGAATTAACTCAAGAATAAATGTCTCGAATTTGAAACTTAATCACACAAATAGAGTATTCAGTCTAAATATATTTGTGTAGAAACTTGTCAATTGATTCTTCAAGCGTTTCTCTTGAGTCTCTTCTTCTCCGACGACGTCCCAGCATCATGGGTACAACCATGGCCATTGTTGCTGGCACCATACCTGCTCCAACTGCCGCAAGCAAAGTTGAACTGTCAGGAGATGAATTCTGAATAATTTTCCTTCTCACAGCTCTATTTTTATTTGGCCTTATTTGCGTTGCAGCAACTTCTAAATCGTTTTTCTTGTCTAAATCACGTTTAGACTCCTCGACAGTTTGGAAGCTTTTTTCTACTTCTAATAATCCACCGTGTGACGTTGTCATGTTTGTATGTGCTTTGTCCACTGGCAACACAGTTAAAGCAACTGCTTGATGGGAGGTCATTGTTGTGACGTCATTACCGTCTTCCGGAGCTGGGTAGTTCAGCGAACGTTGGCGTTTTTTGTTCTTATAACCTTTGGTGGTAGAAAGCAAAACCCACTGTCCGTCACTATATGGTGGTCTTGAGGAACGATCACTGTCGTACTCTGGGGAACCTGCATAAACTACTTGTGTTGGTCGACGCAAGGGGCGTTTTTGCATTGAACTTTGTGCTTGATGTAGAGCTTCGTATTCATAAGGGAAATTTGCAGGACGATTGTCAGTAACAACAGAGTCTGACATTCCATAATATCCTTCTTCATCATTTGTATAGTTTTCATCCGTATCACAGTTCGGCTTATGAGGACGTCGTCCATCATCTGGAGCCCACATAGAAGGATAAGAAGCTTGCTGAGGCTTACTCCATGTTGTAAACGTTGGTTTGGATGGTAATTCCGGTTCATAGTCTTGAGGTACGTGTAACTTGTTATTAATAAAACCTGGACGCGCTAAGCTGGGTCTTTTTTGTTGATAATTGTAACTGCTTCCAGTGCCTTGATGTGATTCAAATCTATCGTCGTCTGGAAGTCGACTATCGTCCTCAGTCCACTGGTTGGGCTTTTGTTTTTTTACATTAGGCTTCCACTTAGATATCTTGCTAGTAGACCAAGCTACAGGTTCTAATGTTACCCAGCCGTCTTTGTCATCAAAAGGATGCTTATGCTGTTTTACCTTTAGTCTATTCCATGTTGTGAATACATTACCTTTGTCTTCTTCCCCACTTTCCATTTGAGAGAAACGATCATGTTTGTATTTGTCTTTTTTCAATTTGGCTGCTAATGCTGTGATAGCCTGTAAGCGGTCTAGAGGATAGTCACGAAAGTCCTTTAATTTGTCTTCACCTAGTGCGTATTCATCAAAACCATCTTCTTCTGCGTATCCTTCTTGACACGAAGGTCCGTAGCATCTCGGTTCGTTACCATCTAAATCATGAATAATATGAGTCATAAGGTTCTTTACTTCCGCATCGTCCGCTGTGCTTTTGATTTCAAATTTCTTCTTCCACTGTGGTTGTCCATCATGAGCTTCGATAACAGTTATCGAGTCTCGTCCTGGTACTTCTAATTGATACTGCTTCGTTTTCTGATCATAGTTTTCAATTTGTGTAGAATCATTTGGATCGGCCACGGCTAACCCTAATATACAAAACACAACCGATCGCACTGTTATTTTCATCATGATAATTTCACTTTCGTTAGATCGCGTGTCTGCACGCGGGCTGTGCGCGCGTGTACTGAGATCCGCCGGTGACTGCGGCACTCTGATATAGTTTTCTTTTGGATGCACAATAACCCTCCCTGCGCTCTAATGCAATGGTAATTTTAGTTCAGTCACGACGAATGAGCGATATAATTATGTGACGATTGTCGTTTGCTGGCGATTATCTTAATTTGCTATCGCCGCTCTCGCAGGGCCGCGACCCGCGCTCGGGTGAAACCGTTTTTCATTTTATGGGATCTTTTCTCCGTGGAATAAGAGAAATGGTTGCAGATGTATCTGTCGAGATAAAAAGTCGTTGCTTTCGTTCGTGTTGCTAAAACAACGCTTTCAAATTAATTTGGTTACTTTCTTTATCCAAAATTACATTTTCGTTTCAGTGCTTTAAAGCGCGGTATAATTTTGTGCTTTATCGAATGAGCTGAAATTTATGTAAGCAACTTAAGACAATTTACATAAAAAATAACCCATGAAAATTTTAAAGTAGAGTGTACATTATGCTGTATTGCACACTAAAACACGATACATTTAAAATTAAGGATTGAGTTTACCAATTTAATCTATCGTGTACATTAGACATTATTTCTGATGGCTTACACTCGGTTTTTTAAGCATGTTGCCCATCATCAGAATCGGTCCAATTGTCACAAGCACTACTACACGAACTCTCTCCATAATCGTGCAGATTATTATATCTATCTGGTCACGAATCTACCACGCTCTACTTGTAAGCTGCACTTTTACCAGTCTCCGATACGAATATGATGCCATTAAAAATGTAGTTTAGTTTAATTATTGAGAGAGTTATATCATGTTTATTTACTATCTTTATTTATTTATTCATGGAACAATAACAACAAACCGAGTTTTGAACTTTCATAATTCTATTAAAAATGAACGTCCCTTTTTGAGCGTGATACCGGTCACTCACATTCGCACGAATACGCAAACCCGCAAGTGTAGGACGACATTTGCAAATGATTATGCAAAGTTTTCGCTGCATGTGTGGTTTTCCAAGCTGTGTCGGTTTTTTAACAGACATCAAAGCGCGCGAACCGCGATCCTTCGCGTAGTCTCCCAAGGGAACGGACGTTTCGCTATTTTCATAGATCGTGACGTCTACTGTGTAGCGTATCTTCATCAAAAGAAATCCCATAAAAACAGCATGGCTGTTAATGATGTCTGGGAAATAATTCAAAACTCTTTTTCTCTTCAATTTCTATTGACGAATTAAAAAGGAGGAGAAATTCGTGAGACATTCGTAAAAAAGTGTAGGAGGAAGCGCAAACGGGTTCGCAAATTGAGTACCGAACCCATTTGCACAGCCGCTAAGTTTGCGAATGAATGTTTGACGGCCCTTCACATGCGCGCAAACATTCGTTGAGTGGCCGGCATTATGTTTATGAAAGAAATAACACGTAAAAGATAATTTGAAAGACTCAAATATATAACATTGAATAAAAGTAAACTACTTACCTTATCCGTGTTTGAAAATGCTACAAAACATATTTTGGGGAAAAGAAATCACATAATAGATGACTTTTTTTAAGCAAAGCGAAATATCAAAATCCCATCTATCATTGTCGTGTCAAAAATATTTCCACAGAACTTAAAACTACTAACTACCTCAATGTATTGAATAAGCTAATACTACAATAGAAAAGATATTTTCTGAGACCGTCTTGACTGTCGCAATCAGGAGGGCGTCGACCCTCAATTACGGCCATCCATTCTACACAGACAGCCTCATGTGACCACACAAAAATGTTAATCATATTCTCGATCAAGTAACAAATGAAAAATTAAAGAAATAAGATGATACATTCAATGAACGACAGTAAACGACTATCCGTTTTATTATTTAAGGTATTATTGTTCGAAGATTTATAGATTTTGTTATTTTCTTCAAAAAAGAAAGCACTCCGTACTGTCACTTAGTTTATGATTATTAATTAATAGGCGTTGATCATGCTTATTTTCTTTGATAAAAAAAAAGCGTTTCAAGGCTGAAGCTAACTTATTATAGAAAGCCAGTAAGTACTTAATGAAAACAAATCTTTATGGTACCAAACTTTTTTAATCAATGCTAATTAGACCATTTTATTTATGGACAAATTCTATACGGTTATGAAGATGTCTACAATGCAACTGAGACTTCATTCTCGTATCTCAGTGTAGTTGGAGACGTGCTGCTGATACCGCCATTCAGCAGTGAATTAACACTGAATTATTTACTGGGCCTAGTAACATGAATGATTGTACCAGATCAAAACCTGATACCAAAATTACAACCCATAACGAAGAAATAAAATACTGGTGGTAAGGACCTCTTGTGAGTCCGCACGGGCAGGTACCACCACCCTGCCTATTTCTGCCGTGAAGCAGTAATGCGTTTCGGTTTGAAGGGTGGGGCAGCCGTTGTAACTATACTGAGACCTTAGAACTTATATCTCAAGGTGGGTGGCGCATTTACGATATAGATATCTATGGGCTCCAGTAACCACTTAACACCAGGTGGCCTGTGAACTCGTCCACCCATATAAGCAATAAAAAAAATTGAAAAAAAAAACCATTAATAAAAATTGATACAAACCAAATATTCCGCATTGTAAATACTACTATGAAATCTATTGTTTGATATTTCGACACTTTTTGTATAAAAGAAAGTGGGAAATTATTGTTGAGAAACGTGTTGACAAATCTCTTTATTATTTGTAGAAAGCATAAAGGAGTCAGCAGCCGTTAAATTAAGTTCCGCCAATCCAAAATAAAGGTATATAATCAGACATACTGTTGTTATAATTCGGAGAAAGTACTATTTTAATTGGCTTTAAGGGTAAATAGGTATAAAGGTTAAAAATGGTCATTACTACAAATACAGGTCTTTGAACCTAGTACAGACTTCAGCTCTTTCAAAGGCTTACAAAAAAGTTATAAGGTTAATTTATTTCCATTTGAATTTGTACTATACCTTTAGGAGAGAAATAAATAAATTATTATTATTATTATTATAAAATTACAAATTAAAACTTTGTGATGAATAAGGTAACAAGTTTGTTATTAGTATTTTGATATCTTATAGAAGCCACAGCCTACGTTTTATTCTACTTACGCGGGAGAATATATTATTGAAGGCATGTTAATGTTTTGTATGTCCATAGTAATCGACTTTTTAAAAAAATTTTGCAGACGTACGGTTTTATACGGAGAATGCCAGTTGACTTGCGACCCTGATGTAGGCTTATGGGATTTTATAATTATTTATATTCATTATAGTATTAAAAACTTAACGAGAATTAATTGTACAATTTGTATAACAATATTGATTAATTTTCAAAGTTTTTCAATCCCGATATACCGATATTAGTGATCTCGATGATTTTACATTTATTCTTCACGACACGATCCATAAAACGTTTTTAGCTAAAACAATATCTACATTTCAACCAGTTAATTCTTTGTTGATATCTGGGATCTGTACAGTAATATTTTTTTTGGGAATGTTTTATTTACGTACACTCCTCCCGAAAAGGGAACCTGTTCAAAAACAGCTTAAGTATTCTCATTAAAACTTTTTGACTAAAGTAACTTCATTAAAGTAATTAGTATTTGTCTTGTTCCAAGTCCTTACGGATCTTTACCAACACTCAACCCATGGCCTCCCCGAAGCTGTCATGGGTTCCGGTGTGATGGGTAAGAACGAGGTTGTACCGATGCAATTGAGATCGGTGATGCCAACTTAGAATTTAAATTACGTTTTTTGAAAAAACCACATCGGCCTCTACGTTTTTTTTTTTTTTTTTTTTTATGGTTTGTCAGAGTCGAACTGACTAAAACCTCCTGTCGCTCAACAACCAACGTCCAAACCTCGCATGAGACAGAACTCATGACAAGGCAAAGGGGGGAAAGTGAAGCGTTTAGTGCGGAGCACATCTCTCCCATCACCCTCCCCCTCGGGACGCCGGACTGGCGGTCGTCGGCGCCACGACCACCAGCTCTCTCGGTCGGCAGACTGTCCGAAGCCCGCCCAGATGGCGCCGGTTAGAGTGGGTTACCCTACGGAATACCCCGCTGGGCCAGAACCAGCGTGGGTCGAGGATAGCCGGCCTTCCATCACCCGGATGCTCTTGCGTAAAATGCGTGCAGAGCAGCTTGCACGTCGTCTTCTTAGGCCCCCCTCGCCGGTCCCCAGACCGACATGTGAGGGGGACCCGAAACACTTAGAGGGCCAGGGCTTGGGCGAGATCCGCCTCCCTGGCCCCCGCTCGACGGCGGCGGGATTGTGCGTCTCTCACGCGCCCCGCCGCCTCCTTCTGCGAGATGTAGGTTTCAGCGTACTTTATTTCGTATGTGTTTGTGATACCCATAACACAGGAGAAAATCATNTGGTGGCACTCTGCCGTCGGCTCGGCTGTGATCCGGTGCAGGAACTCACCGAAACAACCATGCCCAGTGAGCACCTGCGTGAGCCGGAAAGTGAGGCGTCCTCTGTCACGATTCACCCAATCCACAAGGACCGGGCGAATCGCCTCGACGGTCCTACGACCAGCCGAAGGATCGGCCAGCCGTCTGGACCATGACTCCAATAACAATTTAAAAAAATCAAAATATAATACCTTTATTTTTACATAATTTAAGAAAATAGGTTATTTTAGCAAATAATAACTGTAACTGGATTGAAGAAAAGATGACTTAAATCACATTTGAGATGAATTGTTTTGAATTCAATGAATTTCAGTGGATTAAAAAAAGCTTTAAGGACAGCGTTTCTGGTAACACTGTTCGGGACTTTATTCTTAGTTTCCGGTGTCCATGGACTCTGGTAAACCTGCAATATAAATGAATCATGAGCTTGTCTGTCCATCTTAGGTGATAAATGCAAAACTCGAACCAATTACCTTTCGCAACAGTCAAATTATACAACGAAAACAAAACAGTGCTTAGAAGAAAGCCTGTGATTA